CGAAGTTTAATGCGTTCCAACACATTTCCCCTACCCGTTTAGCGATGATTCCGTATAGTGAGGGTTAATCCGGAACGGATTAACCTCGCTATACGGGGCACCACTGTACATACATTAAATAAAACTCCAGATGATGGTGGGCTCCAGGAAACATACATGCAGAGAACTTAAGGGAGCATGCCGTTAAATGCTTGCTGAAACAATAAGGTCTGCAGCATCTTCTCAAAGGAATGGGAAGGAGGACCATGATCAGTGGTTGGTGCAAAGCTTAGCCTGAACTCACCATACTCTCCAAAGACGAGGTGTTTGCATTTCCGGTCTTCCACAATCCAGGACACCGCCTTCACCCCGAACCAAATCAACAGCATACCCAATGTGGCATCCAAGAGGAAATTCATTAGGTAACTACGGCAGAGAAGAATAAAAAAAGAAACATGCTAACAAGCCAGAGGGTTGAAGGTGATTCTAGGGCCAAACCGCATCCTGTTTTAAATGTGTGGCTTGCAGTTGTGTCTTTCTCCATCTTGAAAAGGAAGGACGCCTGCTGTGCTCTGGTCCATGGGGTCATGAAGAATTGGACATGAGTCCAGTTTGTCATTCTATCAGATTTAAATAAGCCACCAGCCGTTACACAAAAGAAGGGGCCACTCGCACGAAGAAGGAAAATGCCCTCTTCTCCTTACCCACGCAATCAGACCCACAGCCAGGACTCCACTGAACATCCAACACTCGAGATGCTGGCCCTATGGTCACCACGGCACAAAAGCCCACACCTCGGGCCCTGTTGATACAAGGGCTTCACCCCTCGGCAGATGACCACACTAACACAGGGGCAGTCAGTCAGGGAGCTGAGCAGCAGGCTCAGCAAAGAAGACAGAGCCAAGGATCAGCTCCACTTTCTGTTACCTCTGCTCTACTCCTTCCTGAAATTTAACATGTGAGCATTCATTCATTTATTCGTGTCCAACCCCATGAACCAGAGCACGTCAGGCCCTCCTATCCTCCACTGCCTCCCGTAGTTGTGTCAATTTCATGTTGGTTGCTTCACAGACACTGTCCAACCATCCCGTCCTCTGTCATCCCCTTCTCCTCCTGCCCTCACACTTTCCCAACATCAGGGTCTTTTCCAAGGAGTCTTCTCTTCTCCTGAGATGGCCAAAGTACTGGAGTCTCAGCTTCAGGATCTAACATGTGAGCAGCTGCCTCTCAATCAAGGTTGGGCAGAAGGGATGTGTGTGTGGCATTTTCCCTTACAACCCTACTTTCTTTCTCTCTCTCAATTCTGAGTTTCAATCCAACAACACACCAGTCTGCAATGAACTAGGGAGGCAGGAAAGGACCTGGCACCATCCCCAAAGAGAGAATGAGCTGCAGAAGGGAGGAAGGGTGTGAATCTGAAACTCATCCATGATGTCCCAACCACAGTTTGGCCATTAAAGGTAAATCCAAGGAACATGCAGAACCATCTCATGCAGTGGTTCCCAACCTCGGGTAACCCAGGTCTTCTTAGACTGCAACTCCCAGAAACTCCAGCCAGCACAGCCGGTGGTGAAGACTTCTGGGAGTTGCAGTTCAAGAACACATAGGTTATCCATGGTTGGGAGCCATTGGTCTAGTGCTTGCAGCTGAGACTTGCTGAAAAAGGGGGGAAACTCACAGCTCAGACCTCAGCTCCCTGGTTCAAGGAGCGCTGCCTGCCAAGTCAAAACCCAGCTACCTCCACTCATTCCTGCTGCCAAGCCACACTTACAGAGAGCAGGGGTCTTCTTCTGTAAGATCGGACAGGAAGACATTGGCGAAGTGGATGAAGAGCGCGCCAATAGCTTGCTTGGAAGTATCATAAAACCTGGAAAGAGAACAGCTTGAAACGAGTGATCCAGCAGTCAATAGAGTGGGCGGCATATAAATTAAATAAATAAATAAATAATAAATAGGCACTGCTTGTATCTCCTGTCGTGTGCTAAGTCACGCAACTGACACATGGCAAGGAATATAAGATATGTTACTCCATAATCCACATTATAGAACCGAGGGGACATCACCTGCACAATTCCCCTTCTACAAGTACTTTTTCTCCACAGGATGCTGAGTTTGGTGTTTAAAACTAACTTTAAACCTGTGTTTTAAAGAATGCTTTAACCTGTTAAAGAGGGTTTCTAATTGTTTTTCTAAGAAATCATTTAAATCAATTTTATGGAGCGTCGCTTTGGGAACCTCAGTGGGCAGCAAGGCAAGATACACTTTATAAATAGTTAAATAGTTAATAATGAACCTTTTTTTAATATAGCCAAGAGAAATCTTCTCAGCCATTATTTTAAAGCAATAAACACAGCTTACCATATCCTCCAGGGTCGTCTCTCATCCTTTGGCTCCTTAAATCGTTTTACTGCAGAGACAATAAAAGAGGGCTTTTAAAAGTTTACTGCAGAAGCAGCTTAAAACATGACCAAGATTACACAGGGCAAATGCTCTTGCATTTTTGCAATCCATTTCTCATCTCTGGTTGTGTACCTCAAAGGTGAAGAGGTGAAAAGCTCATGTACGGAGCAAGCTGATTTACACAGGAGTCACTCCTTCTTTCCCCTATATGGCCTATTGTTGTATAGTTAAGACCCCCAGATCTTGCTCTAGCGCCTGTGATCCTTAACTGGAGATTTATTATATATTTAAAATATTTTTACCCTGCTTTTCTCTCTAATTAAGCTCCCAAGGCAGCTTAATTAAAAGACAATATTTAAAAGCTTTTAAAAAAGTGAGTATACAAATACGTTCAAAGAATTATACAAGTATTATATTAAACATATTAAAATCAATACTAAAAACACATGTAACAAGAGAGCACAACAATCTATTTAAAAAAAACACAAAACTCTGATGGGTATTAATCTTTTGGACGCCTCTGGGCTTATGTATCACAATTACCTCCTCGGCCCAAAAGCTTCTCCGTTGGTCATCATCATCATCATCATGAGTCATTAAGTCAGTTCTGACTCATAGCAACCCTTTCCATGGTTTTCCAGGTAGAGAAGACTCAGTAGTGGTTTCTCGTTCACTTCTTCTGGGGCCGGCCTGGGACTGTGCAGCTTGCCCAAGGCTACATAGGCTGGCACTACTCACAGGAGGCTCAGTGGGGGAATCGAACTCCCAACCACTGGCTCCAGAGACCTAAACCACTGAGCTATCTGGGATGCTATAACCAGGTCCTTTGTTAGACAGCACATTTTCTCAGGTCCCTCCCTGAGAACTCTATGAATCGATGAAGCAGGAGGAGTTTGGAATGCAGACCAATCTTTTGATAACATCTAGGTGGGAGGGTTGAGGATTCTCTACTGTTGTGGCAAAGGGACCTTCATGATTCTCAACAGGTGCAACCAAGGAATAGGCAACAGCAACACTCCAAATGCTGGCTGAGTTGCAATTCAGACTCAGCACCATCAATGGTGAGAGATCATGGAAGGAGCAGTCCAAAAACACCTGGAGAGCAACAGCTGGCCACCGCAGTGTAGTGTTCGTTATAGAAATTGCTCCACAATGCTTCCATTAAAAACTCTGCAAGCTCTGGAATGGAAATGAAAAAACGGGAAACCAGTTCCATTTCAGAGTCCTGGCGAGTACATCTAAGGGAATTTACAGTAATCATGCAAGCGGCTTTCACCATTGTGCATTGTGTCCACTGCACGATCCATTCCAAACCAAGGCTGGGTGTGCAACACCTTGCAAAATAGTGAAAAACATTTGCACAGTTACTATTCCCAAAGAGTAAATTCAATAGGATATTGGCCTCTGAAATTTGTTAGACTCCAAATACCTATGAGTGGTCTCATCCCATTGACCTTATTATTCAAACCCTCTGATTTTACAATCCAGAGTCACTCTGATGTGACTCCAACATCCCCCTTCTGTAACTTCTGAGGTCAACCCAAGTGAAAGAGATTCCATAGTCATCTTATGCCCCCATAATCCTAGCTGGTACTCTCCAATTCAGAACCATCTCTGAATTACTGCCCTATTCAGCAGTTAATTATTTCTCTATCATACTTGCTTTTATCTTTTAATACAGCCGTTAGTGTCTGTGATAATTACACTGCCTCTGATAACTCTCTTAAATCTAATGAGGCTCGACAAGACCTGCTCAACAAGCTGTCACATCATTAACTCACTTCCTTTTTAAGTTGTCTTCTTATCACACTCAACAACTGTGTCTTGAGCTTTGGCAGCTGGGGCTCCATAGCGTGCCCTTTTCCATTAAGCGAGGACGGGTGGGTGGGTAGGATTGTGTAAAAGGATTCTCAGATCTCCTGCCAAGCTAAGAATCGGGTTCCCCCATTCTTGGCTAATCAACTTCATTGCCCTGGTTTGCTAGCAAAACGCTAGACAGAAGAATTGGTTTCACCCATAGAAATCAACGGTTCCCATTTCAATCTACAGAACGTAATACAAGGCGCTGTGCAAGACCACAGCGAAGAAAACGGAGAGAGTAAAAACTGACTCGTTCAAGATAGGGTGCTGAGAGAGAGAGAGCTTTGAAGATGTCCTGGACCATCAAATGGGTCCTAGATGAACTTCCTCTACTTTGGGCACATCATGAGAAGGCAAGATTTGTTAAAGTGAACCATCATGCTAAGAGGAGTTGGAGGAGGAAAAGAGAAAGACCAAATATGAGACAGAATGACTCCCTAAGGAAGCCACAGGCATGAATGAATTTGAGCCAACTCCGGGAGGCAGCAGAAGACAGGAGGGCCTGGCGTGCTCTGGTCCACGGGGGTCACGAAGAGTCGGACACGACTAAACAACAACAAAAAGAACTCGGGAGATCTGGGTTCGAAACCCCACTCCAACATGCAGACTCATACTGGGGAGTGACACTAAGGAAAAGGCTTCTTCAATACCTCACTTACATTATTAAGGTCACTGTAGATCAGGTCAGACTTGAGGGCACATTAGAATAGCAGATAAAGGAAGCTGATGGCTTCGCTTGGCTGATCATGAAGTTTTAGATTACGTATAGTTCAATCAGGCCAAGTATGTGGCAGATTTTGCCACTAAAAAAATTTAGAGAAGAATGAGAGGAGGTAGGGAAAAAAGTTTTCCCCGTTTGGGTAGGGAGATCGCAAGCAAATGATTGGCTAGGCTGAGAAACAAGCAGATTAAGCAACAGGTAAAATGAGGAAACCCCACTGATAATGAAGAAAACTCTTATCGCTGTGGTTGGAGTGAATTTGTGGGAAAGCATTAAGAGAGACAACACAGAGCTAGCGCAGGATATCTGGTGTGGTGTAGCAGATAGAGTGATGGACTAGGACTCAGGAGATTTGGGTTTGAATCCCTGCTCAAGCAGAGAAAGTCACTGGGGGGCGTGAACCTGGTAAACCACTCCTTAAATATCTCACCTACGTGAACCTGGTAAAACACTCCTTCAATGTCTCACTTACCTTGAAAGTTCTATTAGGATCACTGTAAGTCACAAGGCACCTCTCTCACACACACACATACACTAGCTCAGTGGGTTGGAGTGCCTGGCTCTGAAGCAAAAATCAAAGAGTTCAAACCCCAAAGACGCCTCTCTAGATCACCCCGAATACGGTGTGGCTGATGGGATTACGTGTTCTGCTCGCCATACAGCCTGCAGCAAGGCGCATTTATCCCAGAGAGAGGGGCTAAGAAACTACTTCTGCGTAGCTGACATCTAGAAAACCCAAAGAAGCTCGCCATAAACCCTAAATGACTTAACCACGCAGAATCATCCTTAAATAAGATGCTGCCATTGTTTCCTTCTTTCCATTAACAGGAGAAATTGTGAGGCCGAACTCAAGCCACTGAATGCACAGAACTCATAAAGGCCACATTTACGTAAGTCCTGTTGATTCAAAAAAAATCTGCCCTATTGGGACTTTCATTTTATTTAGTGTCATTTTCTGTGGTACCCAGTGTGATGCAGTGGATAGTGACGGACTAGGACTCGTGAGGCCTGGGTTCAAATCCCCACTCGGCCATGGAATGACTGGGGGAACAGAATTGGTATAAAACCACTCTTTAAATATCTCACTTCCCTTCCCTTGAAAGTCCTATGAGGGCCACTATAAGTTGTCCCCCATTTGATGGCATGTAACTGTTTTTGGACCAGAACCCCATGTATCAGATCCTGAGTGTGATATGAAGGGAGCTACCGTCTACGAAAACTTACGCCAGAAAAGACTTCTTAATCTTGCCACAAGGTCTTTTACTGTAATAGACTACCAGGGCTACCCCCCCCCAAAAAAAAATGTAAAGAAAATTTCAGTACACTGTATTCTACCTGCAGTCTGAATGCCACATTTTCTATATCAAAAACAGCCTCTTCTCAATCTACTCTGATGCATATGTAAATATAGCCAGAAAATATTACAGATCAGATGATGTCGGCTGCAGTCCATCAAAGCTTTTTTTGACCAAGAAACTGTGCAGTCTTTAAGGTTCCACAAGACACTTGATTTGGCTCCATGAGACTTAACGCCACCATCACGTCCCAGCAGGTGAAGGTGGGAACTGTTTTAACACAGACGCCTATCTCTATGGCAGGAGACAAAGATTTTATTCAGGCAGGCCTCAGGAAATTAAAATCTCTCCCACCCGAAGTTTCTAACCCATGTGCTGTCTCTTTAAAAAGTAAACTACTGTCAGTATTTGCAATCAAACACGTTCAGGTGTTTTCATTTTAATATTCCAATGAACTTCACCCCTATTTTTAAACATTTTAACACTCTTGTTTTTATTTGCTACCGTTTTTTAAACAATTCTGTAAGCCATCTTGGCTTCTAAATCTGGGAGAGAGGCACCACAATACAATACAATAAATGCACAACAGGTTCACCAGGCAACATCTCAGTCATCCAGATGCGCCTAAAACTGGGTGGGTGGGGGTGGAAGAAAAGGAAGGAAGGAAAAAAACTGAAGGATACGTTTTCCCAGTGATGGGCCCTTCTACCAAGTTGCCTCCGACTTTCGAGGACCCTATGAACAAGGGACCTCCAGATTTGCCCGCCCTTAAGAGCCCTGCAGCGTTCCTGCAAACACACGGTCGTGGCTTCGTTGATGGAGTCGCACCATCGCACGTTCCGTCTTCCTCCTTCCCTGCTGCCATCCGGCTGCCACCCCCCCCCCCCTCTCCTCGCGCGATTGCCTTTCTCGCCCAGGCTCGCCTTCACCGAACGGGTTCAAATCCTGACAAAAGGGGGAGGGGGAGACCAAAAAGAAGAGGGAGGGGGGGAAAGAGAAGAACAGATGCGAACAAAAGGAAGGCAAGACCGCGGGAAAGGGAGAGCCCGAGGAAGAAGGGGCTGGGATGGTTTTTCCTTACGCATGAGGGTGCTGAAGGCCACCAGGGCCAGCAGCGCCTGGACCAGCACCCCGAGGCGGCCGAGGAGGGCCCCGTCGCCGCAACCCCGCGGGCGGATCTTCACCTGGCTCGGGCCCAGGCTCCGGGGCGCCTCCG